GGCCCCCACCCATGCACCAGGCCTCTATCCTATATAGTAAAAGGGTAATATGCAAACTGACCCTAACAGCAGAAAGACTGGGAATGACTGGTCATTATGACACACACTGACCACCAGGGGGCAGACACTCAATGCAGGAGCTGCCCCCTCGTGGTCAGTGCGCTCCCACATGGGGGAGCTCTGCTCAGCCACAAGCCAGACTGATGGCTGCCAGCACAGCGGTGGTGGCGGGAGCCTCTCCTGCCTCCTCAGCAGTGCCAAGGATGTCCGACTACACCTTAGGCCTGCTCCCCACTGGCAAGTGGACATCCCCCAAGGGCTGCCAGGCTGCCAAAGGGATGTCTGACTGCCAGCTTAGGCCCAATTCCCCGGGGAGCGGGCCTAAGCCAGCAGGTGAACATCCCCCGAGGAGTCCCAGACTGCGAGAGGGCACAGGCTGGGCTGAGGGACTCCCCCGAGTGCACAAATTTTTATGCACCAGGCCTCTAGTTTTTATATATTTAAATCTGTGATCCATTTTGAGTTTATTCTTATATAAATTGTGTGGTTAGGTCAAGGTTCTTCTTTTTTTCTGCCTATGCTTGTCCAATTGCTCTAGCATAGCCGTGGGCAAACTACGGCCCGCGGGCCAGATCCGGCCTGTTTGAAATGAATAAAACTAAAAAAAAAAAAGACCGTACCCTTTTATGTAATGATGTTTACTTTGAATTTATATTAGTTCACACAAACACTCCATCCATGCTTTTGTTCTGGCCCTCCGGTCCAGTTTAAGAACCCATTGTGGCCCGCGAGTCAAAAAGTTTGCCCACCCTGCTCTAGCACCATTTAAAAAAACCTTCATTATTTCATTGAATTACTTTTTCACCTTTATCAAAAATCATTTGGGCATATTTGTGTGGGTCTATTTCTGGGTATTAAATTATGTTCCACTCAGCTATACGTTTATCCCTTCTCTAATACCATACTGTCTTGATTACAATAGCTGTATAGTAACCTTTAATATTGGATAGAGTGATTCTCTTTCAATTTATTATCTTCTTTTTCAAGATTGTTTTAGCTACTTGGAAGTTGTGCCTTTACATATAAATTTCAGAACCAGCTGGCCAAATTGTACAAAAAAGCTTGTTGGGATTTTGATGGGAATTGCATTAAGCCGGTGGATCAATTTGAGGAGAATTGACATCTTTATGATGTTGAGTCTTTCAATCCATGAATACATATGTCTCTCCATTTATTTAAATATGCTTTGATTACTTTCATCAATATTTTGTAATTTTCAGCTTACAGATCTAGTACTTACTTTGTTAAGATAACTAATTATTTAATTTTCTTTGGAGTGATTGTTAATGGTACTGTTTTTAATTTTAGTTTCTATCTGTTCATTATTACCAAATGAAAATGTGATTGGTTTTTGTGTGTCAGTTTCAAAAGAAACGAAAAGGTAGCTTTTAACTACTATTTTCTTCTATTTTTTATTTATCTTTAGGTGATATGTAGAATTGTCTTAGACACATATTGGGTAATAATTGACAACATTCCTGCAAAGGTGGTGGTATTGTTTTTATTTTACAGAACTTGCCAAGCTGATATATATGACAGAGGTGAGATTCAGACCCAGGCGGTATGGAGTTGTTTTCAATATGCTATACACGGTGTATTTTCTGAGAAGTTTAATCCCTGAAAATGACTACCTGATTAGAATCACTAGATATTCCTCTAGTTATTTTCTTCCTGTTTCTGGAGACTGTACACAAGTATCTACTGGCATTTAGTGTACTGGAGAAAATTGGGTTTCATTCCCTCTACTCAATGTTTATAAAAAATCTTTATATTCAAAATGTAAATATTAACCAAATTGGAATTCATTTATTCATTCCTTCAACTACTATTTATGAAGGCAAGTCTTATGCTAGCCAGGTCCTGGATATACAAAGATGAATAGATATTGTCTCTGCCTTTAATTTGCTTACACTCAAGTAAAGACCCATAAAAGAGCAGGTAGAATAAAGGGTGGTACCCAATAGTGTGCTGGAGCTGACTCATATCAGCTTTTGGGAGCCTATTATTAAATATTCAGAAACTATGTAAACCTGTTTTTACCAGTGGTAGTTTGAAATTGGCTATGGTTGGAGTATTTACACCATAGAAATTAGCAAATACTACAAATAGGACTTTTTTCTTTCTTTGCTTTCCCTTAGGCCAGTGGTCGGCAAACTCATTAGTCAACAGAGCCAAATATCAACAGTACAACGATTGAAATTCCTTTTGAGAGCCAAATTTTTTAAACTTAAACTGTATAGGTAGGTACATTGTTATTAACTTAATTAGGGTACTCCTAAGCTGGCCTTTGCTAAAAACGTCCTCAATCGGATTGAGGTACGTTCGCTGAGGTCAACCCCTTCCAACTCTCCCATCCTCAACTTGTGCATGAATCGCGCGCTTCCCCCATGCTGCGTATCCCGTCACCCGACCCACCGACCGACACCCCCCACTTCTAACGCCACTTCTTCAAAATAGACTCGCCCAGGCCGAAAACCGACTTTTGCACATGGGCCATGAAGTTTCAATCGCACTGTACATGCATGCCCGCTCATGGTATTTTGTGGAAGAGCCACACTCAAGGGGCCAAAGAGCGGCATGTGGCTCGCGAGCTGTGGTTTGCCGACCACTGCCTTAGGCCTCCATTTACTAACATGCCACTGTTGGTGCAGTAGTAGAGGTATCAAATCCATTCCCTTATCTCATTCCTACAGGAACCCATTCTGCATGTCATATCATAAGTTGTTTCAGAACCAGCTGCTTCTGGTGATTTAAGCAGCAGCCTTTCACAAACCTGGTAGCTTTTCCCTTTTTAGATGATGAGGGGAAGATTAAATCTAAATGTCCTATGGATTCTGTTTTTGTTCCAGTGATTATAAAGCAGCTAACTTCATTATCAACTTATATATCGTCAATGAGCCTTGGGTCTTCTCACTGGCCTGGTGCTCCAAGATTAACTCGGTGACCACAGACAACATTGTGCTCCTCAGGCAGATAAATTACCCGTACTACGCCATGGTGAGCTGAGTTCCAGATTGTTCTTCCAAGGCTGGTATAATAGGATTTCACGTCCCCTACCCCACCTGTATATTTCCCACTGTGTAGTTGCCTGGGGAGCGACTTAAGGGCAGAGACATCTATGATTTTGGAGGTGTGGCTTTCTCCCTTCTATCACACAGATCCTACTGTGAACTTGGAAATGTTCTATTGGCCAAAGAAAATCACATGGTCAAGTCCAGATTCAAGGTGGATGAGGGCAGAAACAGACTTCACCTCTTGTTGGGGAGGAATAGCAAAGTCACATTGTATACTTTTATTTTCACTCAGATTTTACAGATTTAAGTAACATTTTATTATACTGCACAATTAAAACAATAAATACAACTGTTCTAAGCCATTTGAGGCACAAGACAACTTATTCTTGGTTTTGCTTGGTGATGCTCATGGGGTGGGCATCCATCAGTCTGGTTCCCCGAGGGCATTAAGAGCCCTAGTTTAGTGGAAGTTAGTTAAGAGCTCCTACTACACCTGTCTAGTAGGGCTGTTGTGAACATTAGATGTGAAAATACCCTTAAAGTGCTTAGAACACTTCCTTAGCTCCTGTAAGTGTTCATTAATTGTTAGTTTTTATTATTATCATGATCATTAGTGTTTTTATTAATATCACTAGAGGCCCAGTGCATGAAATTCATGCATGGGGGCGGGGGTGTATGTGTGTGTGTACCTCAGCCCAGCCTGCACCCTCTCCAATCTGGGACCCCTCGAGGGGTTTCTGACTGCCCATTTAGGCAGTCGGACATCCCTCTCACAATCCAGGACTGCTGGCTCCCAACTGCTCACCTGCCTGTCTGATTGCCCCTAACCGCTTCTGCCTGCCAACCTGATCACCACCTAACCACTCCCCTGCTGGCCTGATCAACGCCTGACTGCTCCCCTGCCAGCCCTATTGCCCCTAACTGCCCTCCCCTGCCGGCCTGTTCACCCTAACTGCCCTCCCCTGCTGGCCCAGTCACCCCTAACTTCCCTCCCCTGTGGGCCTGATTGCCCACAACTGTCCTCCCCTGCTGGCCTTCTTGTGGTGGCCATCTTTGACCACATGGGGGTGGCCATCTTGTGTGTTGGAGTGATGGTCAATTTGCATATCACCTCTTTATTATATAGGATTATTCAATCCAAGGAAAGACCTCGGGATAGGGTGGGGAATGGCCTAAGAAAGAATAAAAAATGCCAGCCCCAGCAGCATGAAGTAAAATTGGAGGGGGAGCAGTGGAGGAAGAAAGGGAGAATCAAACCAGGAAATTAGAAAACTCACACAAGAGGCCCTAGGAGCTGGAGCTCTGGGATGTGGTGATTCAGGTAAGGAGTGTAGAGCAGGGGACATGTTAGGTAAGGGAGAATTATAATTTCAACCTACTTACTTGAAGTATCATGATATAGAACTGCTGGCTCACAGATGAGGTGCTTCAGTATCACCTGGGAAGCTGTTAGAAATACAGAAGTTCTAATTCCTGAGGTCTGTAGAGAGACCCAGGAACCTGTACTATTGAAAGCTGCGCAGGTGGATTTGGATGCACAGCCAGGCTTGGGAAGCCGAGCCATGGAAACACAGAGAGCTGGGACTCCAGAACTTGGGCTGTGGTCCTGGGTCCAGAGCAGACTTGCCATGTGATTTCTCTGGGACTCCCTCAGGCCTCTGTGTTGAGTGGCCAGGGAAATGAAGAGTGTGCAGTTTCATCCCTCTAGAGCCCCTCCCCCCTTGGAAGGGTGATTGTTAGGAGAGCAGCAGGTATTCTCTGTGTGTGAGATCACCACATCCGACAGCTTCCTCCGCCTGGTTTGTTCCCCTCCACTCCATCCCCAGCCCTGGCAGCAGAGTAAGGGACTTGGCCCATCTGATCTAAAATCCCTTCCAACAGTTCATGAACTGTAGTTTGTTTTCTACTTTGCAGACACCAAAGTCCTATGTGTTCCTGTGGGTTCTCCTGGATTGTATTTCTGCAGTTTTCATTTTCACCGTATTTTATTTTCATTGGTAAGCATATGTTTGTGATTTTAAATGAATTTTTCCCAAAATAAAAGTACAAGTGGTTCCTTTGAGAAGTTGAGAAAAAACAGTTAAACACCCTTCCTATAATCCATTCCTCATGGCAAGTTCTCAGGAAGACAGGGTTAGTAATCTGAACCCTTCATTTCTTTTCATGCTGCCTGCAGCTCGTCACACCCCTTCCACCTCCTCTGCACAAGACAGTATTCTAAGGATAAGGACTGTCACTGATGCTCAGTGACCACAGATTCAGTGGGGATTACTTGGGAGAGGATGGGAGCTGAAGGTTGTCAAGAACAAGTGCCTCCATCTTCCCACCTTCCACAAAACTGGACATAGCAGGACGCTGTGTAAACAGCAAGTTCACAAACCTGGAAGCCTGGGTTTTAGCCCTGGATTTGCCCCTTAGTTGCAGGGCGACCCTAGGAAAATCATTGTCCTTTTCTAGGCCATAATCTTTATCTAAGAAAATGACATGTCAGAATCCATGCAGGGATAATGCTACATGGTTACAAGTTTCCAGGTGGGAGAGGAAACACCAACTAGAAGAATTTTAGCTAAAGGAGACCATGGTTGTGTAGACCTAATCATGACCACCATTTCTTCACTGTGAGTTATCCTTTAAAGGGAAAACTATAAACCCTCTGCTTAAGTGAGAATTTTACTGGATAATGTTTCTTTTCTGGCTACTGCCTTGGATTATTGTTCTTTTTTTACTACTACCTTGGGTTATTGTTATTTTTGGCCACTACCTTGGATTATTGTTATTTTTGGATTATTATATTCTTATCCAAGATTCACGGATAGTCTGCTTCCTTCCAGGTGGAGAGAGAACCTAAGAGAACAAGTCTTCGAACGCACCAGCAGTTACACAGGTAAAGTTGGGGGCCTACCCCACTGCTACCCATTACCCCAGGGCATGGGGTCTGCTTTTCATGTCACTGACAAGTGCTGAGGGAGTCGGATATGGAGGGTGGGGACCAGAGAAAAGTGAGAGGTGTAGCTGGGCACAGATTCTGGAGGGCCCTTGACATCAGGCTCTTTTTGGACTTCATTCTCTAAGCAGAGACCCCATAGGAAGATGTTGAACATGGTATTTACTTTTTATTTCTTCATATCTTTATTCAGCACACAGTTCTTGAGTTCTCACTTTGTGCCAAGCACCCTGCGAGGGACTGAAGATCATTGAAAAAATGGAGGTTGGCTCTACAGAGCAGAGGGTTGGCCCACAGAGAACAGTGAAGAAGCAGACAAAAGTATAGCTATTGACATTAGTGGTCCAGACACCCACATCCAGAATAGCTGTGGGCAATGTGTGTTGGAGGGTCGGTGGCGGGGGACACAGCAGAGATCCTGAAGTGCTGGACTAGAGTCTGGACTCTGCATATAAGCAGTCAGGAGATGGCAAATGAGTTTCAAACAGGGGAGCGATATGCTCGGTTTCTGTGTAGAGGGGATGGAATAACAGAATACTTTATTATTAAGCAGAAGAATTCAGGTGCTGAGGAAGGGAGATAGGTCCAGTAAGGGAAGGGTAAGCTAGATTGAACTTTCAAAAGGTTGTGGCGATAATCACATTGTTATTGGTTTGGGAAGCCAGTTCAATGTCAAAGGAAAAACCAAGTAGAAGGCAGAGGACTGTGCAGTACATGATACTGTTTCTTTCACAGTTTCTGGAACCTTTAGTAAAGCAGCACAAAATCATGAATTAATTTAATTTATTGTGGATGGTGAAGATCCTGAGATGCTATGCACCAGTGGTAGATGACTGAATAACACAATACTTAGAGTCAGGAATGGATCCACGGGGACTCTGAAAGAATGTTTAGAAATTTGGATAAATTAAATGGAAGTCATTTATACTGTGAAACTGAAGGTTCAAACCAAGATTGTCCAAATCTCTTGAGGGGAGGAGAATTCTAAAGTAACTCTTAGTTACATGAATCTTAAGATCACTCTACTGGCTGTTAAGAAGTCTGAGGGCTGTATTCCAGATACCTTATGATTTTTAGTAGTTGCATGAATAAACTAAGGCTGCCATAATAAAATATCGTAGGCTGGTGGCTTAAGCAACAAAAGTTTATTTTCTCACACTTATGGAGACTAGTTCAAGATCAGTGTGTCAGCAGGTTTGGTTTCTTCTGAGCCCCTGTTCTTGGCTTGCAGATAGCCACCTTCTTGCTGTACCTCACACAGCCTTTCCTCTATGCGCATACACATCTTCAGTGCCTCTGTTTGTCTCCAAATTTCCTCTTCTTCAGGCAGATTGGATTATTGCCCACCCTAATGGCCTTATTTTAATGAACTCTTTAAAGGCTCTATCGCCAAGTATAGTTTAGATTTTGAGGCACTGGGGTTAAGGCTTCAACATGTGAATTTGGGGGCACACAATTCAGCCCATTACTAACAGAGCCAAAAAATGAAAAGAACATGGAAATGGTGAGGAAATCATGGATAGGAGAGGTTTTGAAAGAAAATTTGAAGATATGTATACCTTTAATGGCTATAATGCCTTAGAAAAAGTACTCAGTTAACTTCCAACACCCTTCATGTTAAAATGAAAAGGAGAGAAGGTGAATAGAAAATAAGTTGAGTATTTCAGTTTAAGAGTTTTTAGTTGCCTATTGCATAAACTAATTTTGTCTGATCTAAGCAGAAAGAAAAGGTATCAAAAGGCTGTTTGAGTACTTCCAAGAAAAACCTAGAAGGTTCAAGACCAAGTTTAGAATCCTGGAAGGAACAAGTAAGATTAGATAGAACTCAAAACCTCAGTCTAGGTTGAGGGGAATAGAGCCCCCAATACTAAGCACAGTGTCACATCTTACACCATAGCCACCAACAAGATGGGCATGTATGGCTGTTGCCATCAGAAGATATTCAGCACCTTTCTAGCTTAAGGATATATTTTTTCAGCACTCTAAAGAACTCAGTCCTTTGTTTTCTGTCTTATATAGTTTCTTTTTTCTTTTTCTTTTTAAATCCTCCCCTGAGTATATTTTTCCATTGATTTTAGAGAGAATGGAAGAGAGAGGAAGAGACAGAAACATCTATGTGAGAGAAACACATTGATTGGTTGCCTCTTGCATGAGCCCGACTAGGGCCCTGGCTGGGGAGGAGTCTGCAGCCGAGGTACATGCCCTTGACTGGAATTGAACCTGAGACTCTTCAGTCCACAGGCCAACACTCTATCCACTGAGCCAAACCGGCTAGGGCTCATATAGTTTCTTATGAAAAGTCTTCCAAGATAAAAATAGTTTTTTCATTTTCTTATCTTTGTTCCTCTACTTCTAATATGTCCTTTTTCTCTGCTTTTTAAAAAATTATCTTTATTGTTGAAAGTATTAGAGATGTCCCCTTCTGACTGCTTTTTATGATTGTTTCTTTTGTTACTGGTTTTCAGTAATTTTATTATGGCCAGGAATTTAGGCATGGGTTAGCTGGGTACTCTGTTTAGAGTCTCACCAGGCTAAAATAAAGGAATTGGCCTGGCTGAGACTTAAGATTACTCTTTCATTCTCACTGGTTTTTGGCAGAATTTAGTTCCTTAGAATTGTAGGACTGTAACTGTCCCTGTTCTCTTGATCACTGATGACAGGGTTTTTCTCTGAGCTCCTGGAGTTCACCTTCAGGTCCTTGTCATATGGCCCTCTCACAACATAGCAGCTTACTTTTTCAAAGCTAGCACAATAATATATCTCATAGCAGATGGATTCAGAAAAAGGAGAACAAAGGAAGCAAAATAACAGAAAAAAACAATAGACAATAAGTTGAAACATGGTAGTCATAAATGCAACCATTTTATTAATTACATTACATATAAATGGACCAAATACTCAAAAGTAGAGATTGTCTAATAGAAAAAAAGAAAGTCCCAACCATATGTGGTCTACAAAAGAAATACTTAAAACCAAAGTCACAAATTGATTCAAAGTAAAAGGATGGGGCAAACAATCTGCATCTATATATATAAGAGCCTAAGCAACCTTTACGACCAGTCGACCAAACGACTGGTTGCTCTGATGCGCACTGACCACCAGGGGGCAGACGCTCAACGCAGGAGCTGCCCCCTGCTGGTCAGTGCACTCCCACAGCCAACCTCCCGTGGCTGGCCAACTTCCTGTGGTCCCTCCCTGATCAGGGTCCCTCCCCCTGGCCAGCCAACCCTGATCGGGCGATTAGCCCTGATTGTCAACCAGGCTGAGGGACCCCATCCATGCACAAATTCATGCACTGGGCCTCTAGTAAGAAATAATATCAGAAAAAAATAGACTTCAAAACATGGAACATTACTGGAAACAAAGATTTCATAATGATGAAAAGGTCAGTATATCAGGAAGCCATTATAAATAAAATGATGTATGCACTTAATATCAGAGCTTCAAACCATATGAAACAAAAAATGAAAGAGAAATCATAGTTGGAGATTTTATAAGTAGTCTCTCAGTACTTGAAATAAATAATCACACACAAAAAAATAAAATCAGAAGGGTTATAGAAATCTGAACAACAATTTCAGTCACATTGACATAAAACAAAATTCCCAACAACTGGAAGAATATACCATATTTTCAAATGTACATGGCATATTTACCAAAATAGACCAGATGATAAGCCATAAGACAAGTCTCAATAAATAAATTTCAAAAGATTTGGATCTTTACACAGTGTATTCTGTGACCACAACAAACTTAAAAACAAATATTAATAAAATATCTAGATTAGCCTCTAAATACTGGAAATTAATGTATTTTTAAACATTCCATTGATTTAGGAGTAAATCACAAGGGAACTTAGATATTATATATTTTTAAGTAAAGGATAATGCATATACAACAGCAGGACTTACAGGAAAATTTAAATGTTAGAAGGAAGAAAGGTTTAATACTGTTTAAGTTTCTACCTTAAGAATCTATAAAAAGAAGAGTACATTTTTCCTAAGTAAAAGAAAGGAAATACTAAATATAGCAGCGATCGATAAAACAGAAAGATACAAAGGAAATGCAAAACAGTGGAAAGTTAGTCCTTTGAAAAGTTTAATAATATTGATAAACTCTTAGCAAGATGTGTGAGGTGGGGGGAGGGAGAGAAAGAGGTTGCCAATATAATTGATGATGAATAAAAGAGTATATCCATAGATCCTAGCCATAAAAAGGAAAATTATGAACATTTTTATGTCATTAAATTTGACAACCAAAATGAAGGGAACAATTCCTGAAAATATATTTTACCAGACCTGACAGAAAAAGAAATAGAAATTTGTAATAACCCACTATCAAAATCAAATTCATATATCAAAAACTTCACCAGAAAGAAAAGTTTGGGCCCAAAGAGTTTCACTGGTTATTCAAATATTTAAGAAATAATACTAATAGCCTTGGCCGGTAGTGTTCAGTGGTTAGAGTGCCAGCCTGCACACGGAAGGGTCACAGGTTTGATTCCCAGTCTAGAGTTATGTACCTGGGTTGCAGGTTCAATCCCCTGCCCTGGTCAGGGCTCCTGCTGAAAGCAACCAGTCAGTGTCTCTCATTCACATCAATGTTTGTCTCTCCCCCGCCCCCTCCCTTCCACTCTCTAAAAATCAATGGGGAGAAATATCCTCTGGTGAGGATTAACTAAAAATAAATAAATAAATGATACTAATATTATACCAACTCAAAAAAAAGAGGAAAGAACACTTCCCAGCTGATTTTTGAGGCCAGAAAAGTCCTCATATAAAACTTCACAAAGACATTACAGAACAAAATTTACAGATCAATATCATCTACAAACTTAGACATAAAAATCCTTAACAAAATATTAGCAAATTGAATCAATCAATGTAAACAGGATGATACATCATGAGAAAGTAAGGTGTATACCAGTAATGCAAGATGGATATTTCATATAAAAACTAATATAATCCCATATTAAAATAAAAAAAGCATATTTGACAAAAGTCAACACCCCTTTATAATG